AGTGGTTTTTTGATAATTATCTCGTTGTAACAGTATAATACTTTATAGGGAGAGTTTAGTTTACAAGTTATCCTCCTTGGTTTCTGTTCAGAGGCAACAGGGAAGAAACAGGAAGTGCTCCTGCATCTAAATTTGACCACTGTAGGTAAAATATTCATAACAAACGCAACAGGATCTCCACACGTAGCAAAAAGGGAGATTCTGTCACTGAAACAGTGAAAACGCTGCATCCTTGTTGGTCAATATTAATTTATATTGTTTTTTCTATGAAGTGAGAGTCCCAGAAGTTCTTTCTTATTCTTTTAACACTCATACTTGAGTAATCCAGCTATTGCACAATTATTCCAGCAATATCTATTCAACTATACAGTACCACACACACACAAACATTCATATATACCAACAAGTCCTCAAACCTAAACGACAACATAGGTTGTTTTTACCAATATCCAAATATGACTCAAATGAGCGTTTTGGAAATCACGTGATCTAAGTCACATGACATAAACACGTGGAGTGACACAAAGGAGGCAAACCCTACCTACTGTTTGATGCCAGACGTCACTCCTCAGTCTGTATACAGCAACTTCCCAGGTTGACATATAGTACATCCCGGTATCTCTTCTTCAGTCTTTGAAACCCAGGCAACATTTCCCAACACAAATAAATAGGTGCAGTAATGAACACAGTTACATGACACTAGCAAATACAACAAGAGAAATCAGAATGAAGGCAAAAACTAAGAAAGAAACATTGGTTTTCAAGTTTGAATGTGGTCAGATACACAGATAGTATCCTGTTAAAGTTAAAGCAAGGTATCATCAGCAGAGAAATGAAAGAGATGAGATGTTTCTTAAGTCAACAAGGTCCAACATCTGAATATCTTGGTGAAGTTCCTGAAGTCTGAGCTGGTGTTCATTGTAAACAACTACATCAGAAATGAATGACCTGAAATTTTGGCCATGTAGTAAATGTCATAAATTCCTAACAGGGCTGATCTTTGCTCAGTGCTGCTGTGGCTTGTTGACTGTTGTGTAGAGAGGTTCCTCTGAAGAGCTGGACGGCAGGTCGACAGTACAGTAGGCTGGATTTTGCTTCAAAAGAGAATATTTGCAGGCAACAGAGCTGGGTTTGAGGATCACTGCCTCACCACCAACTCTGTCAGAGCTGCTTTGGAAGTTGATGGTAGAGTAATGCAGCGAGGCAGACGGGTTTGTGGGAAAGGTGGCAGTGGCATAAATCGTGTCTATCTTATTTCCTGGGTCTGGTGTCTGGATGTGCTGCTGTATCTCCTCATAGAAATGATCCTACCAGGATAGAAAAAATAAAAAAAATACAGTCTGACAAAATCATATTAAATCCATAAAATAAGAACTCTCCATTGTGAACTCTCCATCTGAGGGTCTGAGTAACGGATTTTAAATAAAATAAAATTTAAAGGTTCAGTGTTTAAGCTTTAGTGGCATCTAGTGGTGAGAGTTGCAAATTAGATTGCTCTTTTGATTCTACCATCTCACACAGCTGATTCTCAGTTAACAGGGCCAAGTGGAATTACAAGGGTTAGAGTCCCTGGTTTCTCCGCTGTTAACTTGTTGACTGGGCCCGCTGTCAATTGCTTTTACCATAGTTTGTAGCGTGGAAATCTGGGTTTACAGTGATGACTGTATCTAAAGAAGGGTTAGAGTCCCGTTAGGGTCTGAGTCCACCCAAACTGTCTTTTGCCAGCTGAAAACGCCACTTGCTGTTCTGAAAACGCCTAGCTGGGAGCGCTAGGGTGCGTTTTGGAGGCGCATTGTTTTTTTTCAAGACATTGTGGTTGCCATGATACATAGTTTCCGTGGAATGTTTTGCAAGTAGGGTAGCCTACTTAATTTTAGTGAATGTAAAAATTTCACCACAAAGTACATAGGCCTACTTGCTCTGGCCCTTGCTCTGCATGAAGAGAAGGCTGAAACATGAGAGCACAGACTGTCTGTACGTGGGATCATGAGATTTTGCGGGCGAGGAAACACCTCGGCGAGTAGGCAAATCACTTCGTTCAAGATATGATGTGCTCGGTGCGGTGTTTGTCCCGCCCCTCCTGCACTGTGATTGGACGGCTGGGTAAAAAGTGACAGTGGAGAGCGCAGCGTTTTTCCCAAAGTTGAACATTTTTCATCACTTGGCGACCGGAAAAGACGCTCAGCACCTCGTCACGCTCCTGCCGTTTGTACCAGCTTGGAAAAATGCGGTGCTTCCATTGCAATGAATTGAAAAAGATGCTGGCATCAGAAAAAAACGCTTTGGTCGACACGGTCCCTTAGGGTTGCGAATCCCTAAGTGTTAAATGGTTAGAGTCCCTAAGTAACTTGTTGACAGGGTCCCGCTGTCAACCGCTTTTACCAGAGTTTGTGGCCTGGACAATCCGGAATTACAGTGACAACTGTATCTAAAGAAGGGTTAGAGTCCCGTTAGGGTCTGAGTCCCTAAGTAACTTGTTGACAGGGTCCCGCTGTCAACCGCTTTTGCCAGAGTTTGTGGCCTGGACAATCCGGATTTACAGTGACAACTGTATCTAAAGAAGGGTTAGAGTCCCCTTAAGGTTAGAGTCCCTAAGTAACTAAAGGGGGGATATCTATGAAGATTCTCAGTCATCCAGGTCATAGTTATCCAACGAAGGTTAAAATGAAGGGCAACTGGACTTGGTTGAAGCTACTGGAAGACGTTTCGTCCCTTATCCAAAGGACTTCTTCAGTTCTTCAGTTCTCCAGAACTGAAGAAGTCCTTTGGATAAGGATAAAGGGGGGATAGAGTGGGAGATGGGGAATCAAAGGAGTAAAATAAGCAAAGGTGGGAGACCTGCCTGTTTTAACTTTTAAAACTTTTTATATTTCCCTGTTCCTTTTATGTTTTATGTAAAGCACTTTGAATTACCTTGTTGTTGAAATATGCCATACACATAAACTTGCCTTGATATTAAGAAATTATACACTCACCTAAAGGATTATTAGCAACACCTGTTCAGTTTCTCATTAATGCAATTATGTAATCAACCAATCACATGGCAGTTGCTTCAATGCACTTAGGGGTGTGGTCCTGGTCAAGACAATCTCCTGAACTCCAAACTGAATGTCAGAATGGGAAAGAAAGGTGATTTAAGCAATTTTGAGCGTGGCATGGTTATTGGTGCCAGACGGGCCGGTGTGGGGGGGGCCCGTGGTTATGTAGATAGAAATGGCTCATTCTAAGGTAATAAAAACATAATGGTTCATTATGTAAGTTCTTTACACACCACTGAAAACATAGTTACAGTTATTATATTGCATTTCTGTCAATAGATCCTCAGAAATATTACACACTGAACCTTTAAAAGAACAATAGCTATTAACAATATTGTATTAATAATTTAAGTTTTAAAACATTCCCATATACATTATATCATACAGTAACATATTTCCTGTATCTGACCACTGTAGGTAAAATATTCATAACAAACACAACAGGTTCGCCACATATAGAAAAAAGAGATTCTGTCACTGAAAGACTGAAGAGCAGTGTTATTATTATTATATTATACCAGTGTTAATTTATATATTTTTTTTCTATGAAACGAGAGTCCCAGAAGTTCTTTCTTATACTTTTAACACAAATATTTAATATCTGGCATCATTCAGAGATGAGTAATCCAGCTATTGCGCAATTTTTTCAGCAATATCAATTCAACCTCCGGTTCCCAGCCTAATGCTTATGGACTGAGCTACTGCCGCCCCAAGTGACCGTCCTTGTCATGTGTTTGTGTTGTACGGCCACTAGAGGTCGCTGCCACAATGAACGTAAACAGTTGTACTTTTGTGTGGATTAAACAACCTATATGGTCGTTTTTCTATGGAGGACAGTCTCATTTATACACTGACCTGTTTGTGCTGTGCTGCTGCTCCATTTCTTGTGTTCTTTAAATGTGAAAATCCTGGCAGAAGAAAATGTAAGAGAACAATAACTAAGCAAACAAGCAGAAGGACACATATGGATTAATTTCACGCTTTTCATCAAATTGAGACACAGTCTCTTTAAGCCTTAAACTTTAAGCCGTAAAGCAACGTTATGTAGTACTTTTATCTTAAAAGTTTCAAAAGTTTCAAAATCCATATCATGGTACACTGACTTGTAATAGGAAGAATGGGATCTCAGTCATTACTGTGGCCCAGAGACTGTGTTATTAGCTTTGTTTCCAGCTACATTTTTTAAATATCCATTAAGAAGTATCGCATTAGTTTGATGGAAATACAAAATATGCAAAATTTGAAAAAACTTCCTTAATTTCGCAGAAAGGTTTAACACTCGCTTGAGGTGCTTTTTAGTCTTTGTCAAGAAATAGTTAATGTGCCAAATGGGAGATGGAAACACTTTTGCTGAATAAGTTCTGACTTAACACCCATCAGCATCAGTTTGTAACGCAATGGGGATCCCTATAGCATCATAGTTCAACGCTTCGGTGGAAGCACTGTTGCGTCAGTTTTGGATGGTAAAGGCAGGTATATGATATTTAATAGAAAAGACTGAGTAAGGAGGTGGTTGGGGTGGATGGAGGACCAGCACCCGGACTTTGTACCAGGAGACTGGGGTCCGTGTCCAGTGTGAAACAAAAAGTCAACATTAAATATTTTTATTTAAGTTACGCAAGTTACATAAATTGCGTAAGTTACGTGATGTAAGTTTCGTGACGTAAGTGAACCTGCGCATTAAGTGACGTACATAGTTATTTTAACCCAAACCATGATCTTTAGTAGTTTTGTGCCTAAACCTAACCAAATTGCAACGAAACAATAAATAAGTGAAGTTATTACTTTCTTTGTATAAAAACATTGTGTTCATCAACTTCAAGACATGAAAAAGAAGTGATGCACAGTCTCTACAAACGGTATCCAGTGTCTTCTTTGGCCTTTTTAATCCTCATTTACACACAGGGTGGAGCTGTTGTGAAGGAGTGTGTGTTTCTTCTGGAAAATGGTAATAACTCTTACGTTTGTAGATCAAAATCAGCACAAACAGCAGCAGCACAGCTACACAGACGATCACAATAATGACGACCTGACGGTCACCTGCAATATAAACCAGATTCATTATCATCCACAGCTGTCTGTGTTGAGTACATTTAAGTGGGCGATTAATTTGAAATATTTCCCCTCCTCTTGCTCTTCTCCAGCAGATGGTGTAATATATCCAAATTGCTCTCTTACCACGATTCTCTGCAGACTCAGTAGTTGACTGGGTTGAAGAAACCAGAGATGTGGATAATGTCGGTGACATTGCTGTTGATACTGCTGGTGATACTGAAAAAAAAGACAATTTAATTTGGCAAGAGAATAACCCTTAGAGGTCCGATTCCACAGAACTCTCTTTTCTCTTGGGTTTGTTAATACATTCACCGAGAGCACAAATGCATTTTTTTGATTGGTCTCCCGTGTTTCTGAAACACAAAAATAGGAAACTAAATAATGAATAAATGATAATGAATGAGACTGAATCCATTCAGCTGCTGTTGTGACAGGTCAATATATCTGCTGTGAACAAAAGGTCTATTGTGTAAGAGCCTTTTAAAGGAATAGTCTCAGTGTGAGAAATGCTCTCATTTGCTTTCTGAAAGAGAGTTCTCTTCACAGCCAGTATGGATCATACTTACAGTGAACAGTAACACTTTCATTGTACATTCAAGACAAAATTTCAGCCTATCCTTAAAGGTAAAATATGCATAAAACACTAAATCTGTGTTGATGAAACTGAACACTTGATAAGGGTTTTTGGTTGTTGCTGATAAAGTTCTGCTGTCAAATCACTGCAGGATGCTGCTCTGAGACATGCAGGAAATGAAAATGAGCACAAACAGCAACAACATCAGGTGATCTTAGTCAGCGTCAGGATATCACAGCTGACTGCCATTTGAAAAAAAAGTTAAATGATCAAGAACAAGAAAGGAAAAACCAGTTCAGCTGTTTTACGGTTGTTACACACTGTGACAGTCCCAAAAACTGGTACAGACAGTTAGAAAAGAGCCATCAGCATATGATAGTAAACAACTGTGTGGTAACATGACCAGATCAGACAGATCTGGTCACCAAGCAGGTTTAATACTGAATGGGTTAGAGAAAATCCATGGGATGATTTTCTTTTCTCCAAAAGGTCAATATTTCCAAAGTCAATAAATAATTGTTTTAATTAATCATGATCTCAAAACTATTGGTCAATAAGTGATTACGATTTTTGCGATAATCGAGCAGGTCTAATAGGATGCTCTTACCAGGATTGCTAAGTAAAACAAAAATAAAAATATTATCTCAGTTGTGTCTTTTTAACTGAACCAAAAAGTTATTTTTAATGTTTCAGCTGACAGTGACTGAAGTAGTATATGACATGCAATAACATTAAAGGCAATCAACTCAAAATATGTCTTATCTGTTTAATGGCAGGAACAGCACAGGTGTTAATAATAACATTAACAATGGCTCTGTTATATTCAAGTCTAACAGTAAGTCATGACAGTGAGTCAGCATGAACAATATCAGGACCTTGAAACTGCAGCAGCTAAATGGAATTCAGCCATCATTAAATTTATTGTTCACACCTGTGTTTCTCCTTCTGTGATGTAAAAATGTCTTTTGTGAAAAGGTCAATTGTTGCCAAGTGTTTTGCACTTTACCACAGAGAAACTAACTGTGGTTCATTATAAAACTGTAACTTATTTATCTTTATTCACGCCAACTCAGATTCTGTCACTGCTTCTTCTGCTTTACCCGTCGCCAGGGTGAATCGTAGTATTGGCGATCCATTGATGATGGCTTTATTTATGTCTTGCATGCACTTGGAGGTTAATATAGTCAGAGCTGATAAAATTGATAGTCAACTACATCCACACAATAAAAAATATCACTCACCGACAGTCATCACCAGTTTGTGGAAGAATTTGTTGCTGCGTGTTTTGTCAGTGGTTTCTGCTCCACACCAGTATGTCCCAGTGTCGTCTGTTGTTACATTTCTCACTGTTATGGTGATCTTTCTCTTGTTTTTGTCCTCCTTCATAGAAAACCTCCCAATGGTCTTGTTGTGCTGTGTGCTTAATAAAGGCTCACATATAGATGGATCTTCTCCCTTACAGATGAATTTGTTTATCAGAGTATAATTTGGATATCGACACCAGTATGTAAGATTCTGTCCAACAGCTGGAAACGTGGTGAAGTTAGTAATAGAAGCTGTAGAGACACAGACAGACATCGTTGTGTATCAGTGACTGTATTTAACAACATTTTTCAGAGACACTTTAATTATCTGTGTGAGAAAATCAAAGCTCAAAGTGTCAGATGTTTGCTGCTCACAGTTAACCTTCAGCTGTATCTTTCTGAGAGCAGCTCTGTAACTTCCTTCATGTGTTTCCACTCCACACCAGTAGACACCAGCATCATGTGAGGACACGTTACTGATGGACACGCTGAAGTTACTGTTGGTTTCTGTGAGAGTGAATGTCCCGTTTGACTTCAGAGAGGATTTTGTTGATAAAATATCCTCACAGATTGAACCTTTCTGTTTGCAGAAGAACTTGTATTTGTTTCCTGTGTAATCACATGCGATGGTGGTTTTAGCTGTTCTGTACGCAGTTTGATTAAATTGTCTCTGGCAGCCGTCTGTCTCTGCAAATAAACAAGAAAGGTAAAATGTGAAACTGTGATAATGTGCTAACACATGATGTAAATGCAAATCACCGCACTCATACAGTAAAGTGTGAATCATGTTAAATCTACTTTTATTGCAATTGATCTCCATTTTGTTTATCTGAGTAGATGATGACTTGAAATAGAAATTGACTCTAGTGAATGTGAAATTAGAGTCAAAATAGTCTGGAAATTTATAACCAACATCTGTAACATTCATTTTAATAAAAAGTGAGTGCCTCTTACCAACGTCCAAGTCCAGTTCCACTGTGTCACATGAGTCAGGTAGTTGGTTAAATTTACAGGTGTACTTCCCAAAGTTCTCACGTTCAGTTTTATTAATGGCCACCCTGAGATTTTTTTTTTGGATCATGGTACAGGAAAACTCTGCCGTTGTTTTCCCACACATTCTTTAGAGCACTTCGTATGGTTTCTTTGGGATTAACTAAATCAATACTTTCATATGTTACATTTGGTTTTGGATATTTGCAGGTGAATTTAATCCATCCTAATGGGCATCCCTTCACTTTAGACAAGACCTCATGACCTGTAGATCAAAGACAAAAGTTCACAACATGACACTTGACAGACTGTCATCTGAATTAGCTCTCTATCAATGCAACATTGCAACTTTACTTTGAGCTCAATATTTACCACTTGGAAGCAGTATACAAAATTTAATACATTCTTTTAACACACTATAATGTAGTTATAGGCTGCTATGAGGACAGTATCTGTCAGCAATTATAATATCTTATTTAAAGATATATTTTATATAATTGCAACTGTGTTTTAACATACAGTCACTCATCATCGGTTTAGCAGCCTCTACTTTTGAGTGCCCACAGGAGGGGCTATACAAACACATTAATTAAAAGTTTTTAGCTGGAAGTGGTTTTTAAATTTAAATCTAAAAGAACACTTGAACAGCCTAAAATATCATGTTTGAAAAGTAGATTCTAATGAATTAATTTGAGCTAAAGAACAGCTAAACCCAGGAGTGGTCGTTGGTTTCTGGCTCGGAGTAAAAAACAATTGTCCAGCCCAGAACCTCATATAGCTTCAGCTGAATTTCTAAATGTATTCTCACATCCTTTAGGAAATGATCTCTTTGCAGCTAGTATTAGTCACAATAACAGTGAACAGTAACACTTTCAATGCACATACAGAAATGTGAGTATTATTTTGTAAGACTTAATAAATTGTGCATCTATCCTTAAAAAATTAAGTATCTACATCTGTGTAAATAAAACTGATCACTTTTTAAGGGTTTTGGTTGTTGCTGATAGAGTTCTGTTGTCACATCACTGCAGTTCGCTGCTCTGAAAATGGAAGTGCAGGAAATGAAAACAAGAGCACAAATAGCAACAAGATATCTTTCTGCAGACTGAGTCAGCCAGTGACAGGATATCCCAGTTGACTGCCTTTGTAACAGCATTTCAAAATCTACTACATGCTTAAATATGGATGAAATAGGATGCTGTTTAATCAAGATCAATACATGAAACAGATAAAACTATCTCAGTTTTTGAGGTGCCTTTTCAACTGCAACCCTAAAGTCATTATTATTGTTTCAGCTTACAGTGACTGAAATATGTCTTATCTGTTTGATGGCAGGAAAAGCACAAGTGTTCATAATAACATTAACAATGGCTCTGTTATATTCAAGTCTAACAGTAAGTCATGACAGTGAGTCAGCATGAACAATATCAGGACCCTGAAACTGCAGCAGCTAAATGGAATTCAGCCCTCATGTATTTTATTGTTTACACCTGTGTTTCTCCTTCTGTGATGTAAAAATGTCTTTTGTGAAAAGGTCAATTGTCAAGTGTTTTGCACTTTACCACAGAGAAATAACTGATTCTCTCACTACTTCTTTTGCTTTACCCGTCGCCATGGTGAATCATTGGATTGCAGATCAATTGATGATGGCTTTAGTTATTCATCATGCATGTAATATGAGGTTAACATACTCAGAGCTGATACAACTGATGGTCAGTTAGGGTTAAACCAGCTTTCTGGAACAGGACCCTGAAACTCTACAGACCAATATTTATTAAAATAACTTTATAAGATGAAATAAGAGTCCAGCAGTAATCAATAATTACTATAGCTTGCTTTTCATGCTTGTCATCCAACAATTACCCTCCTACAATCTGAACCAGGATCAGATTACATCTACACAATAAAACAACATCACTCACCTACAGTCATCACCAGCTTTTGGAAGAATTTGTTGCTGTGTGTTTTGTCAGTGGTTTCTGCTCCACACCAGTATGTCCCAGTGTCGTCTGTTGTTACGTTTCTCACTGTTATGGTGATCTTTCTCTTGTTTTTGTCCTCCTTCATAGAAAACCTCCCAATGGGCTTGTTGCGCTGTGTGCTTAATAGAGTTTTACATATAGATGGATCTTCTCCCTTACAGATGAATTTGTTTATAAAAGAATCATTTGGATATTGACACCAGTATGTGAGATTCCATCCAACAGTTGGAAACGTGGTGAAGTTAGTAATAGAAGCTGTAGAGACACAGACAGAAAGACATTGGTGTGTATCAGTGACTGTATTTAACAACATATTTCAGAGACACTTTAATTATCTGCGTGAGAAAATCAAAGCTAAAAGAGTCAGATGTGTGCTGCTCACAGTTAACCTTCAGCTCACAGATTTAACCGTTCTGTTTGCAGAATAACTTGTGTTTGTTTCCTGTGTGATCACATGTGATGGTGGTTTTAGCTGTTCTGTACGCAGTTTGTTTAAATTGATTCTGACAGCCGTCTGTCTCAGAAAGGTAAAACCGGAATTAAAATACAGTAATGCTGTGCTAACACGTGGTCACCACACTCATAAGGTGTGAATGATATTGATAATATTCTAAACACTCAAATACGCTTTACAGGGCGAAAGATAAAAGTAACTGGTTAAAAAAGAAAAGGAGGGAGAGAGGGGAAGGACAGAACTGGAGAATGCAGTCTTGAATGGTGGGTTTTGAGGGTCTGTTTGAAAGATAGCATGGAGATAGGGGATGGTGAGGAACCCAGAGTCAGAGTGAAGTATGTCATTGGGTGATTTTAAGTAGGGCAGTTTGAGTGAGTATCGACAACTCGCTCATGGATTGTGGACAGAGAAAGAATGATGGAGATGGGCCTGCAGTTGTTCAGGGTGTCGGGGTCGAGTCCAATGGACAATGAGGAGTTGCTTACATTGGTGATGAGTGGGGAGAGTGTTACATCTGCTTTTTTTGGAATCTGATCTTCATGGCAAATTGATTTCTCTACTGGATGTGGAAGCAAAATAATTTAGAGTAGTGGCACCACACTTTACATGTACAGTATGAAAGCTAAATTAAATCAGTTACGCCTCGATACATAAAAAGCAAAGAGAGAATATGTTTCTGAAATTTCATTTAATTCATTAGATGTGCATTGGGTTGTAAAGGTCGATTGTCAAATTTACAGGTGTACTTCCCAAAGTCCTCATGTTCTGTTTATTTTTTGGGTCTATGTCAGCAATTATTACTTTTTTGAAGACATTTAATAGTTTACAACTGTGTTTTAATAAACTGTCATTCATTTGTTTATTTACCAGCCTCCACTGATGGACACCCACAGGAGGGGCTATACAAACACATTGATAACATTATTGCTGAAAGTGGCGTCTACAGTCATCAACTCCTGAACCCCCTAAAATATCATGTCTGAAAAGCTTTTTCTTCCACCATTACTGTACTGTTCCTCACAATCCTGCTCTAACATTTGTACATAAAACTATAAATATCCTTTCAGACTTAAAATATTTCTCTTATAGCCTGAACAGAACTGGATTTTGAGGCTGAGACCAATTTCAGTGTTTACAAAAACTGGATGTTGATTATTTTCATCATGTAAAATATTTTAAAAAAATTATTTGTTTTTTGTGACCAAGCTTTACTGAGTGAGACATCTTAACTGTGAAGTCAGTGCTCTACGAGCAGGGCTGTAACAAGTGTAATCTCTAAGATCAGTAGTCCAATAGCAGCAAATGTTTTTACCTGTCGTCTGTGAGAGGAAGAGAAGAAGAAAGATCTTCATCTTGTTGGATGCTGAGATCCTCCTTGTTGGTTGGTCTCCTGTATCTACACAGCTCTATTTCCTGAACTTACATCTTATGATACCTAAAAACTACTCCTCAATTTTCTATCCTGCCCCTTTCATCTTTCTTCTTTAAGTTTTAGCCACATCTCCTCCCACCTTATACATCACTTCATTACACAGTAAATAGGAAATGACTGTAATGAGAGAGAGAGAAAACTTGTACTGTCCCCTGACACAGTGCAACAGTTATAACTTATGCAAACTACAAACTGTGAATGCGTACATCCTCATCATTATTCATGATCTGGTTTTAATCAAGTAAATTACGTACTTCATAGATCATAAATTGTGTATCTGCACAGGTGACTGAGGGAACAAACTAAAGACATTTTATTAGAATTTTTTTCTCCTAAAACCTGTGGATGTTAAACCTTTGGGCAGCAGTAGCTCAGTCTGTGGGGTCTTATCTTGGGAACCGGATGGTGGTTCCGGTTCACGTCCAGCACGGATCAGTCAAAAGGAGTTCAGACTGGCAGCTGGAGAGGTGCCACTTCACCTCCTGGTCACTGCTGAAGGTTCACCTGAGCAAAGCCTGAACCCCTAACTGCTCAGGGAGCCTGACTGCGTGGCAGCCCCCTCACTCTGACATGTAGAGGTCCTGTTTGTGCGTTTGTATTTTGGACCTGTGTGTGACCCTGTTGGAGGGCAGTGGAAGCAACCTATGAACATCATTACATATTATCACCTTCAAGATGAACTTGTTCGCAAAGCAGAGTGGTCATTCATCTGTCCAGTATTCTCTCTGTTAGCTTTGTTTTGGGGCTAGAACCTCTCCTGAGAGAAGATTTGACTCTTTAGCTGCTAAATGCTCGACTGTGTTCACCAGTTAGTCTCTAACTGTGTCTGTCTCCTGTTTGCTGCTGAGCAGATAGTGAACAATGGCCTTTTAGTTTTTCATTGTCAGATAGTGTTCAGCATTTAAATGGTAGGAGATACAGCTCTTTTTAAACAGAAGCTGTAATAATAAGCTGTAAAGCTT